AGTCACCATGTTGGGATAGTTTGACCTTTTTTTGACGTCATATCCTCCGAATTTAAATTTGAGGATCCCTGTTTTACGCGAAACGAAATGCATTTTTGTACAATATTTTTATGGATTGCGTATATGTACTGTTTTTGTAGAGGTTTTATATCGGGATAGAAGACGATGTTTGTTGAAGAATAATTAGGTCGCTCTTCACACGTAGTTGAAAATACACAACGTCTATTGAGAACTTAATAATTATTTGTTGCATGATTAATTAGCAGTAGTATGCCTAGATCATGACCGGTGCTTAGAATGAGGATTCTTCTACAACGGCACCAAAAATTTATAAATGCCGTAACAAAAATTAGCTGACAATTATAAGGCACGGCTGCCTTTCTTCATATTGAACAAATATACTGTTGTCATTTTCCTTTACTGAACGTGCAATTTTTATATTTGTAGATAGACAAACGGTCCGTGCAATGATTTTCCGTGTCAATTAATCTGGTTCTAATTGCGTTTGGTGGTACTGTCATAAGTATAAAATTTACAGATTCCTCTTGGAGTAATAAAGTCATCGAAATTTGTTTGCCTTTCGATTTCATAAGTCTACATGTATATAAAAGGCATAACTTTTTGATACGTGTACACGTGGACAAAGGCGCAATTTGGGCTATTTTTATTACCGTGGCAGTCCGTGTTTGCTTCAGCTTTTACTTTTTACGACCGTTATGCCGTGGTAAATTCTAGCATAGGCGGTATGATTGAGATTATTATTTATAAAATGTTATTAAATATTCATTACAATATAAATCCTTAAATTTGTCGGCGTTCGTAGAATGTTTCATCGCTACCGCTTGATTATGATAGCTTCTGTCTTGTCAATGTCACGTGACATTTTCCCGCTTTTCTATCGATAGAGTTGAAAAGATCTATAATAAAGCATTGAGTCTTGTATCACACACACGGCAAATAAATAAAAGGGCCGAGTGCCATGTTAAGTAAGAGACTAGAAAGAATGCTTTGTTCACAATTTGAATAATATTTTATGAACAGATTTATTGGCTGCCGAGTCATTTTGAACAGATATCGGCTACGCAAATATCGGTAAAATTTCTTCTGATAGGCCACTCATCGGCCAATTAGGCAACTGAATAGTGAAACCGATAATCGGACCATCACTAAAAATAAATTTAAAATGATCGCCTTCAAATTTCGTTTCGTTTAAAGAATTCTGTTCGTAATATGCACCATGCCAGATTTCAACTTTCGCCAATGTAGGTCATTTCCTGTTTCACTGTGTTTTGTTGGTTGTAGGCGAAGATTTTTGTGAAATCTCTTAAAATAGACAGCAAAAAATATTTTTCGGAACATAGATTATGGATATGATATGTAAGTTTAATGTGTTAGCAGTGCAGGTAACTGAAAATTGTGAATTTTGCCGTCCGCTGTAAGAAGTAAACTTTTGCGACGAGCTTTTGACCGTTCGGATGTTAGATGTTACGTCCTCAGAATATCAAAGAGTAACATCTAACTTGTTGGATTAAGTCGAAATGACAACGTAAACAAGCATAGCAATCCTGTTTAGAATTTATCGGACTGTTATTGTCCGTTTGATACCGCTTAATTTTTTTATTAGAGACGCTCGATCTCTACGCGATCTCGGCCTCTAATGATTTAAGCGGTATCAAATGGACAATAACAGTCCTTTAAATTCTAAACAGTCGGTGTTTATCTCCTAAATGTAGTTCTGTGACATTAAAACCCAAGCAATAAAAGTTCACGTTCGAATATACCTAACTAGTATGGTGGCTGATCGGCTGATAATGGCCATATTAATTTCTCGCCCTTTTCATAACGCGACAATACGACATCACTTTACTCTGTCTTAACATCGTGTTAGCTATGTTAATTCCTTGTTTTCAAGTTAAATGATGATCCACTGGAAGGAACATATTGAGTAAATGTACGTTATCATTGATACGGATTCAAAATGTAATATTTCTCATTACTACCCTATGTGGTTTAATCAATTTAGACATATTTTTTTCCAGCCATATCAAACATCATTGATACCATTTTATTGATTCTGAAATTATTTGTAAAACAAAATAAGAGACGTGGGGGAGGGGGACGTATGGGACTTTTAGAGTGTGTTCATAGCTGAAGGCAATACTGGGCCTATTTTTAATCATCTAGACCTCGATTCTATTAGTGATGCCAAACGGATGAATATGCGATAAGGTCAATAACAGCTGCGAATAGTTTTCTGCACCTCATAAAAAAAAACTTTCCTGCAACTATTGGGGTGCGTGCTACACCAATGCGGAGATTTTAAAGAATGTGGCCCGATTTGATTCTTTCTACAATCCCCTTCCCACCCTGTAATAAAACAAATGTGAGATCTTGTGAAATCCCTTTTAAACTATGGCGACAGTCATTTATAAGTATTGGTGGGTGTCGTACACGAGTCAATGTATGCTAACTTGTTCGATACCTCCCGACAACACTTCTTATTCAAGGAATTAACATAGCTAACTCACTTTGGTCCTGCTATTGTAATTCTAGATTTTTTAAAATATAATACCAAATATAATGCGCAAAATGTTTCATAATTTTGAGAAAACCAATAATTAATCAACGTTTTTCTATTATCTTTTTTTGCACGAGTCTGCTACTTATATGATGTAATGAGTACGGCTGTACTTTTGTGACTTGTAGAAAGAGACTAAGCCGACAAAAATAAAACGATGTTACGACAGGGTAAAGTGTCGTGTGATTGCGTCAATACTGTCCCGATGTCGTGTTATCGCGTTTTGAAAAGGGCGAGATTTAACATGGCCCCTATCAGCCACCATAAACTAGTGTTATAGCATCGTTTGTAGTAAAATTAGAAAGAACTGAAAAGTATCACAGTGTCAAAATCTAACTATACTGGTTGCTGCTTAAAGTAACTATGCGTCATTTGCATCTTTCGCTGCAATATCAAATTTCGCACGGCTTAATCCACGCTAATATGTACACAGATTGATTATTTAACACTAGATAATGTCCCGGTGGCGGACTTATTACATAGCGAAGCAGCATAGATCGATGAATTCCACACATTTAATTTGTAAATACTGAACTATTTTGGACTGATTCCCATTAGAGATTCATCTTTCACAATATTGCAATCTACCATAAGTGATTCCTATAGCGCTGAAATGGCGCATCGGGACGATAAGGAAATATAATGTCAAATCCTAATAATCATATACAGGTCACAATTCTAGTTTAATTACTAAATGTCATTGAAACAATTTACTTTATAATCATGTTTATACCTATATTAGTATTGATTGGGAAAATACTGGTTTAATCTATTTTTAATAACATATGAAAGCAAAGTTTTGACAGTGAACATTTTTTCGGACGTCAGAAATGATGCATTTCCATAAGTTACTAGGTCCAGTTTTCGATCCCGGTGTTGGTCGAGAAAGTTCGGTGGCTAGGTGGTTAAGACGCTGGCTCGCTAGCCTGGAGGTCGGGTGTTCAATCCCTGCATTGGCCGAGAAAGTTCATCTGGATTTTCCGACTTGGTTTTCCCTTGTCAGTGGTGCAGAACGGGGGGCCTGACAAGGACAGCTGTCTAGTCTTTCGGATGAGACGAAAAACCGAGGTCCCGTGTATACATTGGAATGCACGTAAAAGATCCCTTGGCAGTTGGAATTCGATATAAGAGTAGGCGATAGTGCCGCTGCCCGGGCAAAATTTCCCTCATAGCACACTGTATGGCGTATGCCCGTCTTCATTAGCCCAGTATAGGAGCAGAACAGTAGGACGTTAAACCACATTTCATTTCGAGAAAGTTCATCTGGATTTTCCGGCGTGGTTCCCCCTTGTCAGTGGTGCGGGACAGAGGTTCTGGCAAGGGACAACATATAATCGTTCGAATTGGTCGAAAAACCGAGGTACCGTGTACACATTGGCGTGCACGTAAAAGGACCATTTGCAGTTGGCATTCGAAATAAGAGTAGGCCGTCTTGCCGCTGTCCAGGCAAAGTTTCTCTCGTAGCACACTGTATGAATTATCCCCGTCTTCATCAGTCGGTGCAGATAGGTAAGACGTTAAACCCCATTTGATTTCATTTGATTTCATTTTTATTTCCCGTCTTCATTAACCCAGTAGGACGTTAAACCCCATTTTATTTCATTTCATTTTCATTTCTACTTTTACATCATAATTAATGTTTGATAATTACTTCTGATAATTGACACGTTAAACCAATATTCCCTTCATTATGATGTCATAAATCGCAAATGTTTTGGGTATATATTTAGTTTATTAGCGTATTATTTCTAGTAAATTGAAATATTTTGTATTTCTCAAGATCAAATTGAATTGGGTGCCTTATTGTCGTGGTGATGGAGTAGATAGGGTGGATTGGGGAAATAACACATCAAATAATGAAAATTAGTTAATTGCCCCAAACTTTCCGTTTGTCAATGTATCTTCAGCCCTATGTTTAGGGAATTTGTTTGTTACTTTTGTGGATGTCTTAGATGTAAACATGGTGTAAACCTGATGAATTCAATATCTATTTAATTTAATATATCTCCCCTATACACCTACTTTTTAACTTCTGTCCTATTCATTTACATTTTCAGATATGCTAAAGTTATACTTATTATACTTGTAGAAACGTAGCTCCAGTTAAAATACAGTAATTGTTTTTCACAGAACTATGTGGTCAGTATCATAATGTGTCCAGTTACAACTAAATGCCGTTTAAACAGTATAGTACCGGTAATCAAATTCATTTCAAATACTGAACTTGTGTTTATTGGGTAAGTGTTCATTTATTCTCGATGAATTTGTATTAGCCACAGTCGGGATGACACCTGTTTTCTTTTGACATGCTATTAATAGCGCGAATTGAAAAACATGAATTATACCATGTTTATCACGTCCTGCTTCGTGTTTTGTTACATCCTGTGGTTTAAACAGTATTACATTTATACAACTAAACACATTCTTATAAAAATAAGTATTTTATTGAGGGGACAAAGTTCATGTCGGGTTCAATTTGTTTATAAAGCTGGTCTGGTTCTGTTATGGTGGTTCATTCCTGATCCTAATGATTGAAGTGATGTGGGAGCCACACATCCATCTGCGGGGTATTGCTCGTCTTTGAAACTGTAGATAGAAACACTACCACTTTGTTCAGACAAAGCGATAAGGATAGGAGAACCTCCTACTGGACTGTCGGCTTCTTCAATTACACTTTTAAAAAGAAGTATTAATAAAACCAGTTTATTAAATTAAAATTAATTACGGCCTCTTTAACCAATGCCCAAAAAGTCATGAAATTATCCACCCGTCAACGCTGCACTAGAGAGATCAATTATTCTGAACGGGTCATATTTATATGATTGTATTAATATGGACCACGTGTTGATTAATTCGATATAGATCATACTAAATTTTTGGTTTAAGCCTTTCTTACACGGACGTGTGTAACCTTGGTGTAAGGTAGTGCGTAGGATGACTCGGTAGTGACGCCACAGTGATGCAACGTAACAAATAGGCAACTTGATGCGTCGCCGCAAGTGATTTTTGGCCGCCAGTTACCACAAAAGTCTACGCAAACGTGACACATGAACTGCACTCACAACACTGCTATTCTCAGAAATATAAATAATTATACACTTCTATGGCCTCGCTATTTGCGTCATCTTTGCGGTAAGGCGGAAATTGACAAAATGTTAAAAAATTTCAAAAAACGACGCGACTTTTGCTACACCTCTGTGATGCCTTTACGTCACCCAACTACGGACGTACGACTTGTGCTATCCTAGTCTCACACAGCGCACACTGACCTACTCAAATACTCACAATATGTGGAGTAAGGGGCTACGCAAAATACTAGGGCTGTCGTTTTAGACATGCTTAAAGCCCGGCCCATACCGCCACGACTTGCCCAGACTCTACCCAACGCAACGTGGCAAGGAGTAGGGTCGCCTGTCCAACCTCGTGGGTTTTCTCCGGGTCCTCCGGTTTCCTCCCACTGCTAAAGACCCCTACGCGCAAGCGAATTATTGAAATAAAATTAAACCATATGTTAGTCCCGAAATGACCTAGTTTGTGTCGAGTGGACGTTAAACCCCATTTCTCTCCCTCTCTTACCCAACGCAACGTCTTGTCTCAGATAATCAGTGCAGTGTGGACAGTCCCACGAACACAATTCAATCGATTTCCGTCGCGTCGTGTTCCGTCGGCCCGATTGAACATGTTCAATCGTAGTCGGATGCAGTTGGTTGCAGTCGTAACTTATCGTGTTTATGTGGACACTCACACGACGCGATCAATTGTCTTACTGATGTTTAGCCAATTAGAGAGTAGCATTTAGTCATGTGACTGTGCAGGTCATGTGCTCCTTGTTTAACTGAGGGAAAATTCAAGATGGCAGATTTTTGGACATTTCTTTTTACGAGCAGTCAACTTCAGCGGTATCTTGGCAAAATATAATGTCACTTTTATTTTTCCCGTTTACTTTTGGAATCACTCGCTAGAGGGAAGTGGCGTAACTCACGACGCATAATCTGTGAGAGTCGGGCCTGTGTGGACTGGTACCGTCGTAGGCAAGTGAAGTAAAGGCGCGACCCGATTTGTTTTTACAATTACCCAAGACGCTGAGTCCTGTCGGCTTCTGTGTAGTCGTAGCGGTATGGGCCGGGCCTTAAGCTTTAACCAAAACAGTCGTGTTTAAATGATTTGTCAAGGATGGTATAGCTACTTAGCGAACAGTTCATATGACAGCTTGTTGACAAAGGGTTATCAAAATAGATCAGATCATGACCTAGTGAAGATACAATTTTATCAGCGAAGGAAATAGATTTAAGATTGCTTATCTGCGCTACATTTCTTTCTATACGTCCACTACAATATTAAGGCCATGCTTAATATCCCGAGGCTAAATAAACTTTCGAACCAAATTAGCAACAGCAGGTGTTGTTTCTTTCTGAATCCCAGCTTTATGATAAAAATAATAGAATACAATCTCTAAAAATTCAAATCAAAAGCATGGCCATTTTTATGATACTTACACTAAATCGGAAATTCCAATATCACCCATTTCTTCCCTGGAATATAAATTGGCCCAGGTTGCATCTGTTGCACCTCGTCTATGTACACTCTCGAATTCTGGATCTACTCTTTGAGTAACGGAGGCCTGCAGCTGGAAGACGTAAATTTGACCATTGGTTCCACTTCCAAAAATCATAAGCTGTCTTCCTTGGTATGAAGTAGTTACAACAGAATTTAATTCAGGGCCCTGAAACAGTGAAAGGATAGCGGGTATAAAATAAGTGCCACCCCTTAAAGGTCACCGGAAAAGCTTCATAATTTGTTTTAAATAATGCAAGTAATTATTTCAACGTATCCTTTCCATAAGTATAACCCGAATGTCAATATTACTCGCAACAGGAAAATTTCAACGTTAGTAATTTCTGCCGTTCTCCATCAATAAACAATCCGTGGCGTCATTTTAGTCCATCTGCTCATATTCTAGTCTATACTTCTGAGCAGACGAACTAAAATTACTTGCATCATTTTTTTAAAAAAAATGAAGCTTTCCCGGTGACCTTTAAAGCCACTGATCATCTCTAACATTTCTCGGATAAAATCTAATTTTGTACTCAAGATTTGGTATTTGGACTGATATTCCTGTCAAAGATTCAATTTAGGCAGTGTTGTTCTCTAGACTAAATACTACAGGAAAGCACCAAAATCCGTTTTCTTGACATTTTTTTTTGTATGTGTGTGCGTGGGGGGGGGGGGGGAATTGATATTGATAGTGTGCCAAATTTAAAATCACCAATAGGGGTGTCCAAGTGTGACTGAACAGGTGACGTGTACAGTAACGGCGCTAGCCGTCGATGGATGGAAGGGCGATGCTGGAAAGAAGCCCCAGCTTGTGGGGCCCTACCGCCCACAAGAAAATTTTGGAAAATAGATTGCCGGAAATGCGGTGAGGCAGTATTTCACACACTGATCGTCGAGGTAAATAGAGCTAAAATTATCGAAACCACCGCGGGCAGAAATGCAATAATTTAATAATAAAGGGCAGGAAGCTATCTGCATGCCCAAGAATTACGATTATGATGCAAAGTATTTCTAATTAAATCCCGAATTCAAAGGAGGACAATTCTTGAATTTGGGTATATTTTAGCGAAGCGATCGACCACATTGTCCAGGTCCATCTTTATTGCCCGCTCCCTGTGGAAACTTATTACAGCCAAGTTGCGGAGACGCTTGTCACCAGATACCACCTGTCACCTAATCACCAAAGAGGAAAGTATCAAACGAACGGAGTGAGTGAATCGAAGTGAATGAATGTTCTCGCCGCGTTGAAACTATACCCCAAAACTTTGAGGATTATAAAAAGCACTTCTCAACTGGTTCACGTGTTATTGGTTATAGTAGGTATACAGCAGGGTGGGTTTGGTAAGAAAACACTCGGACTCTACAGCAGGCAAGTCTATAACTGAGCGGGAATGCGGGATTGAATCACCGTAGAAAGTATTGATTAACGAAACATATCACAAATATTTTATTGTACTTTTTAAAATTATTGACCGGGGGACAAACAGACGACAGACCAGATTTAAGGGAGAAGTGGGGGTGCGGGTATATGCCACTCCTTGCCCCCCCCCCCCCAAATAAAACCCTTGGCGCAATCACTGAACGTGTATGTTCCAATGTCAAAAAGTAGTGCAATGCGATGCCCCTCTTGAACCATCTGAAATATTAAAAATGCTAAAGTTTTAATAAAGTTTACCATGTATGGTGATCTGCTATCCCTTTCTCCAGTTGGGGTTAAATTTGGACCTGTATATCCTCCGTTGAAAACATCAGGATAGAACCATCGGCTTACTTTCTCAATAAGATCACCACTCTCCCATTCTCGGATCAGTGTGTTGGCATTAAAGACGGAGAAACCTCGTCCACCAAAGGTGTACACTTCCCTAATTGGGTCAGTAAGTGACATACGGTCCATGGTGCTGATATAGGCACGGCCCAACTGGGCGTTATCAAGCAGCTCAGCTAACAATTCACTGTCAACACTAAAATCTATTGATAAGAAATAAAGATCAGGGCCCTGTTTCTCGAAATCTTAACTAACTAAAGATAAAATCCAAATTTTAGGAGATACTTCAATTTTGATTGGCTAAGCACTAAAATCAATCTAATATTATCCAATCAAATTACTAAAATCTGGATTTTATCTTAGTTAAAATTTTGAGAAACAGGCCCCAGAAGCTACACGAATTTGTCCTTGAAAACTATTCAATCTCTCATGCCCCATTCAATATACATTTATTTTCAGTAAAAAGTTTACATCGAAATCGACAATCTTTGGATTATTTCATGATAATCGTGAACTAACTTATCTAGACGCCAAGTTAAAATCAATCATAAATGCACATTTCAATTGGAAACATGAACAAATATATTAAAACACACCTAAATGCTATATTGTTATGACCATATCATTCTTGTTTTAACAGATCATAACGTAAATTGTTGTTACCATAGAATAATACATCAGTATCCATTTATTGAAAACCACTCTCTTACCTGATTCTAAAGTTCTTGCTCTGTCGTTGTCAGAAATACCTAAACTTGGTACATTGTAAGGTTTACCTTCATCAGCGGTTATTAGATATAAGGTTCCACCCCATTCCATAAAAGTAATTTTATCGGGCTGATATAATCCTCGAACATTTCTACGAGTCATGTGGACTCCAGGAACTGAAACGGTATAAAATGTTTGCCATATGTAAATAAATATTTTAGTAAATTTAGAGACAACCCCAAAGTGATATTGAAGGAAAGGTGATTTTAGTTCCATCCCAGTCTAATTCAAATCATATTACATTTTCGTTTCGTTTAACGTTTTGTAATAGAACATCGAAAATAAAACCAAGCGTAATTGGCATAATGAATCTGGTGATAGTTTTAGTGTATTCCAATGATAGTGATGAAATTTTTGTTAAAACAATAGTGTTGTGTCTGTAGTAAAATGTTAAAATATAATATACTCTGGTTGTGTCTTACATTGATCCTGGTCGCTAGCATCTAAAGTTGAATACAGATACTCCTTGTAACCCATAGGATAGGTACTGACAAGAGCATTTTGTTCCAGATCAATTCGAACAATGGCATTGTTTTCCTACAATATATAGTATTTGGTTTGTTTTCAGTGTAATCAAGTAGCAATATATGAAAAAAAAACGTTGAGGATGCTAATCCATTCTGATTAGGAAAATCCATATACCTCAGAATTTTTATATGTAACCAATATGGCCCTCGCCTCGATCAACAGCTTGCAGTCGCCATTTAACCACGGGCCGCCGAAATGATGTTTATGTGCCGGGCCCCCTTTCACACCTGTGCAAGGACATTATTACCATACGCAATAATAGGGTTTCTAAATTTACCCCTGCATAACCAGAGTAGGGCTTAGGAGGTTCTGTGGCATGAATACCGGATATGATGACGTAAAAAAAATTAAATAGATATTTATAGGCCCCGCAGGGCTTCATGGGTCCCGGAGCTATGTACCGACTGCGCCCCCTCGCCTTGGGCCTGCTCTTACGTAACTGTATCTGCTTCAGTTTTAGCACAGAATAAACCGACAGAAGGAACAATTCAACGATAAAACAAAAAGGGCAGTTTGAAATCAAGTTATACACATACCTGAAGTGTGATGTAGGCATAGCCATTATTGGGAGAAATGGCTATGTACTCTGGTTCAATATTATTTGAGAACGGATTCTGGGAGTTGGTAGTTGGATTAACCCTGACCATATATCTTACTCCAAGAGCAAGAAGTCGACTGCAAATACATACAAAATAATATAATTCAAGGATGCTTAAAGGTTGTTTTTTTTTAAATTACAAATCCAACAATTTTCTCGCAGATAAAGGAGCTAAAGCTCCATTTGATTAAGCGTAAGTCGTCTCGTTTTCTAATATCAGATTCATATTTTGCTTGTTGTGTCGGCAGTGGAACAAAAAATCGGTTACATCTCAATACTGGCTTTAACCATAGACGTAACACTTTCAACGAAAACAAGCCGACATTCTGCAAAACAAATCAAGATACAAAATCAATGAAAAAAACAATTTTACTTTTGACCAAAATCAAATCTTATACCACATACCACACTATTATAGAAAAAAAAACTACGACCAGAAGCAACTTGAACACTGGTTATATATAAGTAAATCATTTACATGCGGCCACGATGACCTTTCCTTTTATAGACCAGGAGTTCTTTTGTTGTGGATAATGGTTTTTCAAGACTAGCGAGTTTCTTGGTATTTTTTTTTTAAATTCATTACACATTAGAACATCAGGAGATATTTGACATGTTCTAATTATTTTTTTCAGAATCTAATGTGTAAATTAATTTTAAATATATCTGATGTAAGCACGGAGTTGACTCTCTCTCTCTCTGCAATAGAATACAATGTCGCCCAGACAGTTTTGCATTTCTTTAATCTACGCAGAAGCTATTTATATGTATCTGTAATATTTGAGTCGTTTCCGATGTAGGAGTAAAATGAAATGTTTAAGACGAAGAATACTCGTTCTATTCTCCTTCAGTTGCTCTAATTGAAAGTTTGGATCATGTGTGAAGAAGCGCTTATGGGTAATTATAAATCTACTTGCGATAATAATTATGGATTCGTCCACCTTTTTTGTCATGAACTTAATGATGAATATTTTATATTTCAGCTTAAATTAGAGAAACTAATTTCGGTGTAGTTTGTCTCTTTTTCATTTGAATTATTATAGTTTATTTTCATACATTCTGTTTACATAGTTTTTAGTCTTAAGATCAACAGATATTCATCCATATTTCGCTTAACTTTGTTTTTATAATAATATGACAAGCAATAACAGGACCAGATCAACGGAAATTGAAAATCGTAAGCAAACATTACCTGAATGGGCAATAGATTATTCATGTCAGTATAACTCTGAACTGTATATTGATATATTGATGAACTAGATATTCTGAGAAATTTTAAAAAGTTTGCAACATCGATATAGTGATTAAAATCACTGGTAGAAATCTCAGGTCAGATCAAATTCTCACCACCCCGCCCACGTGGAAATGACATTAGGAGTCTGGTCTTCAGCATCAAGTCAACTGTCAGTCAGAATGTTATAGAATATAAGATTATAATATTATATTATCGTGATTACATTAAAAATGCATTATGTAAGATTTAGAAAGAGCTGGCCGTTCTTGCTATATAAAAAGATAATGAAAAAATGAATATCTTGAAGATTTCATTCAAATTACTTTATTCTGACCTAAGTAATTGGTGTTTGGGTTTTAATTGTATAGTCTCGATTTTCAAGTAACATTCCTACGATAATAAACAAAGGCTAGAGGGTTGATCGTATGAATGAGTGTTTAATTAATGATTTATATAACATTTGAAGCCAAATAGGCATATTTAGCTCTTACATTATGCATCTTTAAGCGATATCTATATTTACTTTGTTTCAGCGGGATCGTCATATGATTGGAAATTAACAGTAGAAATTGAAGGGTTTCCTGTTTCTGGGATGCTGATTATGCTGACGGTACCTGGGGGATCAATAAATTCGTTATTGATTACAGCCGGTATACCTTCGTTAGAGACAACCAATTTGGCGCAATCTGATGTAAATTTGATATTATCCGGATTGGAACCAACTGAAAACAGACAATATTGATATCATTATAATGCTAATTAAATAGTTTCCTGTAAAAAAAACCAAGGAAACATGACACAACAATTACATACTAAATGGCGGGTATGCAATGGGTATCATGCGATCGGCTGTCACTTTCAAGAAGCGTGTGAATTATTTTGATTTTACCTGATAGTAGAGGATCCACTGGGTTGATTGGGTTTAGAGTCGTGTCACCTCGTCTATATGGATTGTATAATATCACGTGACCTTGTCGAGTCGGATCATTTACTCCAAAAGAAACGGCGAAATAAGCTCGGTTAGGTAGACCACGACACACCTGAATGTCCAGAGGGAATCCTTCGAGAGCCACATCGAAGTTAAAGGTTTGGACGACGCTTGGGTTGTCCACATCAAAGACGTCAACAACATGAAGAACGGCTGATTCTGTACCTGGAACAACATTAAGAGACGTATTAGTTAAAAAAAAGTAAATCGGTATACGTGATTGGGTCGACTACAAACCGTTCCACGGGCTGATATCTTGTTTCTTTGACTTTAAATGATGCTGTATATATTGTAGTTGTATTTTATATTTAAATTAAATACAGTTGAAGTAACAAAATGGCGCAAAACCTTTGAGCTTTTCATAACTACTAATAGCATTTTAAAGCGTCTACTTACAACTTGTAGTAAATTATCCTGATATTTTTCAAATCTCCATTACTATTAGGAGAGAGAGATGGAAATGGGGTTTAACGTCCACTCGACACAAACAAGGTCATTTCAGGACTAACACATGGTTCAATTTTATTTTAATAATTCACTTGCGCATAGGGGTCTTTGGCAGTGGGAGGAAACCGGAGGACCCGGAGAAAACCCACGAGGTTGGACAGGCTACACAACTCCTTGTAACGTACAACCGGGGAATCGAAATCACGCCAGGTGACTCAATGACAGACCTTTTGATACAGCGCGCACATGCTAACTATTCGGCCATCCACCCCACCCCCCTTACTACTAGGATTGTATCAAATGTGTAGTACTGAAAAGCGTTTCCTGAGACGCTCTTCTTGTGGTAATTATGATTTTGAATTGGTTTACACATAAATTGCAACGGGTATTTGTAAGCTAAATACCACGTTACGCATCACCGTTTGTACTATTTTAGCTAAACACTTGACAACCAGACCTTTGTTTTGAATACAAAAGTCCAATAAAATCTTTCTAAACTAAGTACAATAATACGTACAGCTTATCGAATTTTAAAGTAAGAAATTTGACGCGAAATCCACCAAAAAATAACAAATTATGGGTATTTGGTTAATAATATGGAGACATTCTAAATTCGTTATTGAATCCTTGCATGTTTTATTTAAATGAAAGAAGTCTAAAGCTAGAGAATTAATGGTTTATCTAAAAGTAAATTTTAAAGTAGCTAAGTCTCTAACGACAATATCACCCAAAGTCTTCGACATTGAAAACACGGATTATTTGTCAATTTGAATCAACACTGATGTTGTGATCTTACCGGGAAAAGGTGGGCTTTTGATATCCAATATTTAAGACAAAATAAACATTTTACCATTGGTGCACGAATCGTGTACCATAATGCGTTTCAGTGCCATTTGTAACAAGGGACTCGAAGAACGAGGTCTGTCATATTTCACAAGTCATGTCAAACGGTGACCATATATTCTTATCTGGAAGCATGTGCAATAAATATTATCGTTGTAGACTGGAATGACCAGACGCTAGAGATTGCCATTCGATTGAGACTTCTGGCGTATTTCGCCGAACACAACTGATTTAAAATAAGAGTAAAAACGGAAACGACAGAATGTAATATTACATTATTATATGCGTTGCGACCCATTTGTGCCAATTTCTATGGCGGTATATTAGATTCAAAATTCTAATGTGCTATCGTCTAATTTCTAACTTCTGTTCATGTAACTGTTAACTTCTATTCATGTAATTTCTAACTTCTATTCATGTAATTTTTAAATTAATACAATGTATAATCCATCTTTATTATTTGTTCAGTGTACATTTTAATTCTCTTTCATCTTATTTCTATTATTTAGACGAAAAGCGTCTTCTTCATTGATGCTTTACACGTTTAGAATTTTTACACGTCTGCCTAGCAACCATCATTATGAAGTCGTTTGGTGTCGCTACTGCGTGCTCATTTGGTGATTGCGCACTTGGTAGGGACCATTATGTTGATATAAACGACTCGGCTCTTTGACTACTTCAAATAAAAGCCAAACAGCATTTTTTATTTTTTTTTTCTTGAAGACAAGTGAAGGATTTGGAGAATTTTAAAAAAACATTATCTTACAGTTTAGCCATCAATAATATTTATTTACTGTTAAAACTGTATTCTATTACTACTCTAACAAAAATGATAAACTTTTGCTTGATATGGTTCAAAGATATAAATTTAGAAATCCCATATCGTAGTGATAAAACGGCCTTTAAAGGAGACTGGGATAATCTGTTCATGTGGAAAGCGATGAAGTTTTTATTTCTGATTCCTTCATTACACCGACCTGACTAACTTTATGGTAGTTTTTTTCCAAAAATATTTTATTCAAGTTGCATAAAGCAATACGGAAATTCATAGATAGCGGTTTATCGTCCTACTTTTCTCACCATCCTGGCTAAAGAAGACGAACTTACAGTGTGCCATGGGTGAAATTTAACCTGGACAGCGGCGCCACGGTCTACTTTTATTACAAATTACAGCTACCAAGAGTTTTCGTCCGAGCAGAACGACTAGACACTGCCCTTGCCTACAGTAACGGCAACCTCCGCAAATCACAGGAACGGATCTAATAATGTCAGAAATGTTATATAGCTTAGTTTTGCCAGTGTGTATACTAGCTGACGATGTTATATAACCCATAGACATATTATATTTTTTTTATGATATAACCGATATCTTCCGGCATGGTTTTCTCTCCCTTGTTATTGATACAGGATGGGGGTCTGGCACGGAAAGTGGCTAGTCGTTCGGGTGGTATAAAGAGACATTTTTAGAGCATTAAAAGAATAATTTATAGATCAACAGATACATATTGATTGGCTTAACTGTAAAATAAAAATAAAACAAAATTCTCCAAATCCTGCACTTGTCTTTAAAAAAAATGAACAAATGCTGTTTAGCTTATATTTAAAACAGTATTTGCAAACCATATCACGTTCGATGTTGTTTTCAATTTTTACACTCTGCCAAACCATTCAACCTGACGAAGAGCGAGTCGTTTGTGTCAACATAATGATCCCGCTCAGTGCTCAGTCGCCAAATGGAGCACACGGTGGCGACACCAAACGACGTCATAATGATGGTTGCTAGGTAGAAGTATCAAAATTCTACATTTGCCCGACGTTCATGATTAACATGTAGAGCGACAATGAAGTAGACATTTTTCGTCTTAATAATAGAAATCAGATGAAACATAATTAAAATTTACACATAACAAATAAAGAAGTTGGATTATACATTGTCTTAATTTAGAAATTACATGAATTGAAGTTAGAAATTACATGAAATGAAGTTAGAATTTACATGAACAGAGGTTAGAAATTAGACGATAGCATGTTAGAATTTTGAATCTAATATACCGCCATAAATTTCTAGGTCCCAAATATTAGCGAATTAGCACCTTTATGTACTTTGAATTCTACCATGGCTTTAGTAGTGACAAATTAAATCTTTCGACTTAAACATACCACCGTAGATAGCTATATTGTGGAAACTTAAATACGTTATCAGATCTACAGGTCACATAAGGCTACCCATTTATAGACAAAATTTGGATTGGATTATTTCATTTCGTTTCGTTCTAATTATTGTGATAGTCATAAAGAAATATTTTTGCTAGATTTATAGATTCAAATATAAATGAAATAGTAAATAAAGACGAGTTGTGTATTTTGTTGATAAAATATATTACCCACCTACAACATACAAAAATCTATCCATTCGGTCATAAGCACTCTCTTTAGCAGCACCACTGTTAACTGCAAAGTTATTGTTTCGGTCTGGTAGTTTTAAATAACCTCTTTCTTCAAGCACAATATCAGCCATACATGTTGACATAAGACACAAAGAGAGGACAGCCCACATCGCCATTCCGCCTAAGATTTAAAAAAAAAATTACATAAAATTAAAGCAACAAATTTAATTAAGGTTAAAAAATGTCTGAAGAAAAGTACTAATGTTTGCATGTTTCGCCTGAGCTTGTCAAGACATACAATAACAATGACGTGACGTCATGGGTATACAATAATATAATAATAATGAAGTAGATATATATATATAATAATAATAGTAATTATTTTTAAATGTATAATTAGTTTTTATACCACTACGTAGTTTAAAAACTATTGTTTTTGGAAAAAGTAGGCCTACATATTCTACAGAATTAAACGTATTTAGTTGGAATCGTGAATAAATAACTAAAACTTTAAAAATGATAACAGGAAGTGACGTCTTCGACGAAAATAGACTAATATTAGACATCAAAGGAAACGTTTTAGTTTTTCAATCAATTTGAATGTTTCTCAATTTTCCGATTATCTCCTTTTTAACTTCTTTAATTTTGCCTTATTTAAAAATATTTGCCAATACGAGTTATCAATACAGGTCTAGTTTTGGTTTAAATTTGTCAATAAAATATTGTTCCTTCAATCTAATTTTCATCGGGTCTGAATACGGCATCTTAAAGAAAGGGTATATTTTGAACTCGCTTTTACCGCAGATATCGATCCATTCGAATAAAAGGTGAAACAGGGTGTAACATTAAGCTATTTACAACCCATTCAGCGTCTTCATATTTTAAATTATTTCTTCGTAACTTTTATAAACTTGTAGTCATAATTCATACTAAGACAATTTATAGGAATGTTAGTTTACAACTTGGGCGATTGTCGAGAAATAGGCAATTTTTGCATGAGTCACCTTTTATGTTACTTTTGCCTATAAAAGTTTCAGTTATTGATCGATTTTGAAATTGTTTTCCAACTGTGCACCTTTGCTTGCTGATTTGTTTCTCTATTCCTACGAAGCAGATTACATACAGGCACTTGTAAAATCAAATAAACGATTAGTCAGACATTTTAATTTCACTTATCGATATATCGATGATGTTCTATCACTGAATAATCCAAAAGTTAGTGATTATGTAGAATTCATATATCCTGATGAGCTCGAAATTAAAAACACTACTGACGGTGACAATTACGCTTCCTACTTGGATTTGCGTCTCGATTTTGACAATTGCCATAAACTTAGTGTTAAATTGTACGATAAACGTGATGACTTTGACTTTTCGGTTGTTAACTTTCCATTTATTAGTAGTAACATTCCAATATCACCAGCTTATGGAGTGTTTGTGTCTCATCTAATTCGTTACGCGAGAGCTTGTTCATTTTATTCTGATTTTTTAAGTAGATCGAGGCATTTGTCATCTAAGCTTCAACTACAGGGATACTTGCGAACTAAACTTATTAAAACCTTTAAAAAGTTTTATGGCCGTCATATTGACTTGATTGGTAAATATAACATGTCTCTCTCGGCTATTATTCTAGATATATTTAATTGACGAGTATACTATCTCCCTGATAAAGTCTGTCTACTACATCGTTAACACTGTTCATCACGTGCATTTTGCATACCGATAGTTCATTGGCCAATCACGCTATTTTACCGAGATTTCGCCTAATAGTTTGGATGCAGCTATGGCGGGTGTGGCGCCAGGCAGGGTAAGCTTACTCTTCCGGACACCTGTTACCACTGTTTGTCGTGTATTTTGTACACGGTGAACAGTCCATATGCTGATTACACTATTTTGCCTTATTACACTATTTTGCCTATACCGTTTTTTTTAGGACTTCGAATTTTGTCTAATGGTTTGGATTGTTCTAACTTGGTTTTATTTTATTTCACCATTTGATGCCTAATGCTAATTGTGACACAAACCAATTTAACATTTTCACTGTCACTGGAAATAGCGTCAATTTGGCAAAAACTGTATTTTTTGCCTTCAAAACAAATATTTTATTCAACTGAGTCATATTTATTATTTGTTTATAATTAAGATATGTGATTCCAATCAACAAATAGAATGAAACCATGCGACCATAGAGATATCACAAAGTAGTTTCTAACTTTTTCAGTTGCCGAGAAATGGACGATTTTCTACAAGTTTTTTGGCCCATAAAATTGTCAATTATTATTCGATTTTTATCACATTTTCACCATGTGATGCCTAATACCATTTATTGTTTCACCAAAGTAATGTAAGATTTTCATTATCACCGGACGTAAAGTCATTTTGGCAAAAACTTTATTTTTAGCCTCCAAAACAAATATTATTTTTAAGTGAGCAATATTCATTATTCGTATAAAATTATGATATTTGATTTGAATGGACAAATAGTATGAATCAATACAATTATCTAGATATCAAAACAGTTTATCTAACATCTCCCGTTGCCGAGAAATGACCAAATTTGTCAGTATCACTTTTTAAGATTTTTCTCATTTTAATAAAGCTTTATAACAGGTTTATTCAGTTCAAATTTCAATAAATTTTCTGTCATGGAATTGAAGTGGTTATGTCGTTAATCCAATATAACTATTTTCTTGATAACGGAAGTGATGTCATCGTGTCGAGTCTTCGTTGTATATATGAAGCTGATATTGCTGAATTTATTGACTAATTTTGTCTCCATTTTAAAACATGTGTGCAATGCTCATGTGGAAATCATATTAACGTGTCCATTGGTGCGGGAATTTACATCAGTTCAAGGGTAACGTGGCACCAGTGAAACCCATCATTACTGCATCGCAGTTCTAGTTATCCTTAAAATTAGTCCATCTTTATCAGCTCAGTTATTCACAGCCTTTGGAATAAACAACCCTGTATCTCCGTTCAGTTCTGAGCTGCGGCGTTTGGAACACTTGTCGAAACGTCGTGCTACATGTGTACAGGCTAGTGATTTCCATAAAAATTGTGAAGTGTTTATATGATGCCCAATCGCTAAATGTTACTCAAGGATTACACTTGAGAGTAGTTATGTTAAATATAATTTTTTACGGCTCATTTGATAATCCCGAAACGTTGTTCCAACATCGAACTAACCAATACCCACTGATTACATGCACTGTGGAAATTTATTTAAAGAAACAACCAACTACCCTTCTCGATGTCTGTGTCTCCAAAGTTTTATATAATTTTACTAATGGCTATAGAAAACCAACCATAGTATGAAATCAACAATAATTTCAACTATGACTACTAACAATGTCAAAAATATTTGACCCCGAAAGTCTTTCTACAGAAACATGGGCACAGGAGGCCAATATTTTAGTCTGTTTGGTGTAGTATCGAAGAGTGGTGTTTAAATGTACATTTTCTAACAGGTGTTTGTGAATATTCATGAGTTAAGAGGTTGGTTACGTTGAAATGTAGGGCGGACAGTTGCTTGTTTACTAGCATGCTACTAGGATGTGTATCTCAAGATTTCCATGGTGAATCTCATACATACTTTAATTATGAGCAAGAGGTTGACACATTTTGTGTCATCTGTGGTAGAAAGCGTTCAACCCAACGAAAATTTGGGTAAACGTTAGAGCCGGTAAAAGAGACAACGGGGAAATCAATGGTGTACCGTGGCCTCATGTCTTCACAAATTTAAACTGTTATCCAGAGGAGTTTGCAATGGCACTATCAACAAGGCCCTGTCAGCTAAACCAAGAACAACTACGGCACCCGTTAGACGAATCTTCCTGTCATTCAACAACAAAGTCTCCAACAAAATCAAAAGGCTATTAAATAGATATGACCTAAACCTGAAAGAAGCAAATGTATTCATTTTCCTCCAGGCACAATTGTGCTGTAGGCAGTACGCTGTGGCTGTGTTCCTAGATCATGCTTTCATAACGCGTTTTAGTGAAATTGGTAAAATATGTCTTACCTTATCTGTTGAAGGGGTTTTTCACTCTTAGCTTATCTGCTTTAATGTTACTACTTTTATAGTCTTGCAAGGCACGACGTATCTAATCTAAGAATATATAAATTATACGCTTCATGTTTTTCAAAGATAGGGATAAGTTCATTTTCTGATATATGACGTCTAAAGACAAGCCAGGGCATGACCGTGCTCGAATATCAAAAGTGGTTAATACACATACAGTACAAGCACCTTCTTGTGTTTTAGGGCTGGGTTTCCTAAGCTATCAAAAGTTAACCTAATTTACCATCGTTTTCCGTTTTATCATGATAACCCACTCGAGATTGTGCCCGGCAGCAGATGATATCTATATTGACAATAATGACAACGAAAGTCGTAAATATATCATGATTGTATTTACCTTACCATAAACGTTTTGTACATTGGATTCAACTAAAATAATAAAGCGAAAATAAGTATGTCAAATGCTCAACTGTTAGATAAAGTTAGTTAAAGCGAAAACTAGCCAGACAAGTTTTTCTTCCATTTCTCGCGCCTTCGACCCTCAACTTCCCGACTTCTGGCGTTGAAAACCCTCGTCTTCTCGCACCGTCGCCTTCTCCATTTCTCGGACCTGAAGTTAAATTTATACGCAGGTCCACTGGCTACCGAATCAGGCATTAGTATTAATTAGACCCAAACCTACCGAAATCGACTTTAATCTACAATGAAATGAAATGGGGTTTAACGTCCTACTGTTCTGCTCCGACTGGGCTAATGAAGGCGGCCATATGTAAATGAAATGAAATAAAATGGAGTTTAACGTCCTACTGTTCTGCTCCTATACTGGGCTAATGAAGATGAGCATACGCCATGCAGGGTGCTATGAGGGAAATTTTGCCCGGACAGCGGCACTATGGCCTACTCTTATATCGAATCCAAACTGCCAAGGGATCTTTTACGTGCACGCCAATGTATACACGGGACCTCGGTTTTTCGAACGACTAGACGGCATACAGTGTGCTATGAGGGAAATTTTGCCCGAGCAACGGCACTATGGCCTACTCTTATATCGAATTCCAACTGCCACGCCAATGTGTACACGGGTCCTCGGTTTTTCGTCCCATCAGAACGACTAGACAGCTGTCCTTGTCAGACCCTCCGTCCTGCACCACTGACAAGGGGAAACAACGCCCTTAAATCTATAAATTCCAATTCAAGTCATCACTCTTTATTTGAAAATTCTTAGCGATACATGTTTATGGCCTATTTTGATAAAAAAAAAACACAACTACAGCTTTATGGTCGAAAGGGCCGGCACAAAAAAGGGAAAGCAGCTAGAGTTACTGATTGAAGTCGAGAAATGAAATTAAATAAAATGGGGATTAAAATAAAATTAATGAAATGATGTTTAATGTCTTGCTTTTCTGCACCAACAGGGTTAATAAAGACGGGAGTAGAAAAGGGACATATGGCGGTTATATTTTATATAAACTACGGCATTGTTTATCAAGCTAGCTAACATAATGAATAAACATTCGACCCGCGTCCGTTTATTGATGTAAGATGTACAGATACAATTTAATTGATCCGATAACAGACCGTTTAATTCAAGTAAGGGTACTTTGGTCTAAATTATGTATATGTAAATTTTTTCATTTTGGATATTACCGGAATTGGCACCACAAGTTCAGGGCCAGAATTTTACAAAAAAAAAAACAGAGATCTATTCACTGGGTCTTAAAAGAACTGTTGGGGTGGATAAAATTTCTGTTACCACGTTTTGGGTTTTGGTACAAAAGCAGATAAGTTTTAAGTCGAAAATCGGGGAGCAGATAACATATATTAAATATGTTCCTAATGTTTGCGATGTTGTTTTAATAAGGGATCAAGAAAGCTATAGTTAATTACGTAAAAGAAAATGTTCCTTACAATGACGTATTGTAATGTGCATCATGAACAACGTTCAACGGACTTTTAGAAAAATGTAGAACATCCGAAGAAAAACTAATTTAAATTTTATATGATATAGACCTATGCATGTAGTGTTTTCTAAATCGGAAGTTATAAGTAGAAAAGATACAATATGCCAGTACAAGGACAATAACGTTTAATTACAAACCGCTATTTTCTGATAAAACGAAACTCGTAGATTTTTATTTATGATATAATTGTTTATATTCATTTACCAAAAGCCAACCCTTTTAATGATTTTAGATCACGCAAATATTTTGGTCCCACTTTGTTCCACGATTATAATGAAACTGGTTTCGAATCTTGCGAATTAGACTGAACACTGGAAGCAAGGGAACTGAAAGTAGGACGCGAGGATACAGGTCATATAATCCCTCAAGCATGGCAATATATCTTTGCTCGCTATTCTTATACTCTTCCAAAAAAGTAGGGGATATTTAGAAACAATACAAAACTGCGGAAATACACTGCTGTTTTTATTAGAGATAACCAGTGTATGTTAATAACAGGCCAATTGCTCCACCAATCCTCAGAGATTCAGCAATTCGTCGTGGAATGCTCCTAATCAACCGCCCATTCACAATTTGGAGCAATCTGACCCACTCCTCTTGCAGTGCCACGGCCAATTCTTGCAGTGTTGTCGGCTGACGTTGACGTCGACGAACACGTCTCCCGATCAAATTAAACGTAACACACTAAAGCAAAGATACGCTAAACAGTAAATCTTATGCAAGAACCGATAGGAAAGCAAACATGGATAGGATAAACCAGCAAACGGCAGTTTTCATCAACCCTTCCTTGAAGTGTCAAATTTGACAATGAACCCCTCCCACGTGTATGGCGCTATTGCGTGTCGCACATGTAGCTCAGTGGTTCTGTTGGGGCGATAAGTTCTTCATCTGTGAACATGCTTTCAAAGCATCTCAAGTGTCGATGACTATTTATATCACAACCTGCAATAGTATTTGCATTTCAATATCCCCTACTTTTTTTGAAGAGTATATTTTAGCGATTGTCCGACTTAGTCATTGTTTAGTTTCTTTATATTAGGTTTCTTATATGTTTTACATATTATAGCTACTCGTGCACCCCGACATAGTTTTTAATATGTTATGATGACTGCTATAACTATCCTAGCAACGTTATAGAGCAGCTCTTCTAGTCGTCCATGATTGTCCGTGTTTTCTAAGTGGACTAACAATTTAATTAGACCGGTAATAAGACCAGTGATATATTAAGACACGAAGCGAACGATCCAGTCTCTTATTGATTTTAACGCTCATGATTTTGATAAGTTAGAAAATTCTGTTTGTTTAGAAAATTTTAACTTGGTTAGTGAATCTTTTGTTTTTAAGCTAATTAAATCTTCTGCTCCTAAATCTTGTTCATTGAATCCTGTTCCGATTCTTGTTCTTGTTATTAATTTTTGTATATCATCCTCTACTATTCCCAACGTTTTCGAACAAGCTTATATGTTACCCCTTTAATAAGAAAGTCTACACAGGATCCCAATGTTTTTAAAAGTTACAGACCTGACTCTAACTTAAGTTTTATTTCTAAAATATTGGAGAAATGTATTGCTTCTCAGATAAAGGCTCACCTAGATTATAACTGTTTGTATGAACCATTTCAAAGTGCTTATAAACAATTTCACAGTACCGAAACAGCTTTAACCCGGGTTTCAAATGATATTTTAATGGAAATTGATAATAGAAAATGTACATTTTTAATTTTATTAGATGTATCTGCTGCTTTCGACACGGTGGACCCCTCCATTCTTCTTCAATTTAAATTCGGTATTTGTGGCTCTGCATTAAATCTTAAATTTACACTGGTTACCTGTTAAATATCGAATTGATTTTAAGATTTTATTACTTACTTTTAAATGTTTAAATAATTTAGCTCCTGTTTACCTCTCAGATCTTTTAGAACTTTATACACCTGGCCGAACATTACGTACATCAGATAAACTACTTTTAAAGCCCAAAACGGGTGGGACGATTTACCCAATACTACCCCATACCACCCAATACACCCCAATACCATCTCAATATCACCACATACTACCCAATATTACAACATAATGATGCAAAATAGACATATCATTTGATTTTTTTCAAAAATAGAGAGTTATATCGCGGGAAATGTACTTCAAATGCGATACCCATGTCTGGCTGTTCCATTTAACTCCCTATAGCACCCCAAACAAGCTTATAATAACCCAATACTAATTAATGCTTTAACAAAACAATTGCATAATGTTTATATTCATTTTTTCATGTCAACTATTAAGTTATTGCGTATTTACTTACTGCACAATGTTTTATTTTAAAATTAATGAAATTGCACTAAATGGTTAAATTGTGTTAAAGATATTATATTAACTGAATGTGGCTTTGTTAATGCCTGGAATAATCAAAATGTAGATCAGAATTGTAACTTGTCTTAAAATGTGAAACAGTTTTACCATAATTTGTTTGTAAATGATTGGAAGGCCAAAACGTTCAATTCAGCTAAATGTTTAAACTATAGGATGTATAAATCTGAATTTGGCTTGGAAAATTATTTAACAGCATTGCCTTTTGATTTAAGACTTAATCTATGTAAATTTAGATGTGGTAGTCATAGATTACCTATTGAATGTGGTAGATTCTATGGCATTGATAGATCAGAAAGAGTTTGTGATTTATGTAACAATGAAGAGCAAGGGGACGAATTTCATTATATATTTAACTGTAACTTCTTTAATTTTGAACGACAGAAGTTTTTACCTGCAGATATATGTAAAATTAAAAATACAATGAGTTTTTCTGAATTAATGAATAGTAAAGACAAGTTTGTTCTTATTGGTTTAGCTAAAGTTTGTAAAATTGTTATGGCTGTCTTCAAAGAATAAGGTAAATTACCTTCCCACTTAATCACACATATGTATATATGTTTTTTTCATGCATTATATTAATTTTGTTAAATTATTGTACTATCATGCCTCATGTGAGGCCTTTAGTGAAATAAAATGTTTCAAATGTTTCAAAATGTTTCAAATGTAAATTATCGAATATTCGTTGCAATTATTATACTGATGTGCTGCTAATTGACGATATTAGGTTTGTATTTTATAATATTGGGTAGTATTTAGTAGTATTTGATAAGTATTTGGTAGTATTGGGTTATTATTTGCTTGA